ATAATAAAGAAATATAATGGGAAGAAAGATTGGTCATGTTGTCAGAGCAAAGAGGCTACAGAAATTTCTCATAGAAGTAAAAGTAGAAGGAGTTAGAACTAAAGGAAGGCCTAGAAAAAAATGGATAAGGGATATACAGAAATGGACAAAACATAACTATGTAAAATGTGCAAGAGAAGCAGAAGACCGAGACTACTGGCGTACTGTAACAGCAAATCTGCAAGTTACGGGTGCTACTTCCAGGTAACAGGTAATACGTTAGTATCAAACGTAGCCTGTCAATCTCAGTATCTTGGTGACTAATTGGTTCAATCTGAATACATGGTTATTCAATAAAAAAAAAACAGACGATTGTTAGATCCATTAGGGACTGGAACAATATTTTTAGTTGATAGGTCAATGATTCTCTGGCGAACTTCCCCAGCAGATATTCCCCTAGATCGCAATATCACAGCCACTCCTATAGCTTGAGTTCCAGGCCCTACTTTTGTGTTACTCACTCTTTACTGCACTTAGTGCGCGCGTAATACCTAATTTAATTGGCGTCTCATACTCGATTTGTTTTTTTCTGCTTACTCGCTCGTCGGTGGCGATGTCCAGAATGAGAAAAATAATTAAAAAAACTTGTGGTAAGTCTACCACTCCTACAACACAACACGATGTTTAGTTATAGATTAAGATTCAAGAAGAAATTATATTTACTTTTCTCTGTACATATCAGGTTAGAACTATGCTAGGCTAAGTTATTGTGATTCTTAGAGAAACTCTTCATAGTTACTATCCTTGACGCAGGGTTCACAGAACGCCGCCCTCAGCGGCATGTCGAAAGCACAACTCAAAATCAGGAGAGGAACGCTTTTGAAGTCAGATTTGCGAGAAAAACTTAAGCTACCCGTATTTCTCGACTAAGACGTCTGTGGGAGCTGTAATAATTGTATGGCAAGCAGATGGTGCAACCCTCAATTCGTTTTTATTGAATAAACTTATAGTTAAATTTTTATTTTTTTTGTCGACGTCACACTCATAAAAATATTATAATTAACATGCATACATCATAAGAATACGTCACCTTTATGGAACGCCGTTACTGCCTTTGGTGGCTCTTTTCCGTTCGGCGCATTTGCTATTCGGCCCTTTTAACATTACGTTCGGTGCTTTTACATTACGTTCGGTGCTTTTACATTACGTTCGGTGCTTTTAACATTACGTTCGGTGCTTTTAACATTACTTTCGGTGCTTTTACATTACGTTCGGTGCTTTTTAACATTACGTTCGGTGCTTTTAACATTACGTTCGGTGCTTTTGCCACACTTCGGCTCTTTTATCATTTGGTGCTTTTACCTTTCGGCCCTTTCATCATTACGTACGGTTCTTTTATCATTCGGTGCTTTCATGACCTTTGATATCGGGTCAAGTGGAAAAAATCAACGGCTGTGGGAATGAGCCTAGTGGAAAATCGTGCGTAACAAAGCATATTCGACATGTGATTATCTTAGTAATAAAATTAATAACTAACGAAAACAAAAATGTCTCGATCAATCAAAACAGTATTAGAAGACCTGGATCTACATTTTCTTGTCCCTAAGTTTGAAAGGGAAAGGGTACGTTCTAGTTTATTTCCACAAGATTTTGGGGGTATTTTAGGGCAAATAGAAATATAAGATTTATAGACATAGTATTGAAAACAAAAATAACTAAGGCGGACTCTTTTTTATTCCGGATATGAAGAAGCAGGCTTATTTAAATAAAAGAAACGTAATTAATTAATTAATTAATTACCGGTAACCAAACGATTCCAAACAAGTCCGATCCTATTTTTGGCTTACATAATAAATAAAAGTTAAACTCAAAATTTCCCTCTCCAGTTGATTGATTAATTTTCCCCTCCCTTTACTGTCCGGTCGTTTTACAAATGCTCCTCCCGTGGTTATCTCGTATTTTGATATTGGTATTTATTTCTTTGTCTTTTTATTTTGTCTACCTTTTTAATATTATATAATATCTATTTAATTCTTACTTCTTAATTCATACGCAATTCAGCCTTTGTTGCTGCTATGTATGTTTTTGATGTTGAATTTTTAATAAATACCTCAAATAAATAATAAAAACTTAGCATTTATATTACAACAAAGATACACATTTGCAGGGGTCCCAAGTTGGAAAAAGGCAATTCGTGAAGCAGGGGTGGAGCCAGTGTAGTGGGAGGGTACAGGGAGAACACCCATCTCTTGGGGAGAAAATCCACAATTCCACATTTAGAACTCCCGATCTGCGGCCAATTTTTTTCCGTCTTGCGGGCATCTGATATTATTTTAATTGTTATTTAGGCCTACCATGTTGTATATTTTGCTTTACAGCATTATTATTATTATTATTTATTATTATTATTATTATTATTATTATTATTATTATTATTATTATTATTATTATTATTATTATTATTATTATTTATATATATATACATATATATAAATATATATATATATATGTATATTATGTATATATATATATATTATATGAAGATTGCGTGCCCACCTGTGTTTCAAAACATGAATATAATATAGCGTAACAGTAATTAAACTAAGAAGTTGACCTTAGAAACACTAAAATTTAAGATTCTGGATAATATATATTAACAAGACAAATGGGAAAACCAAACAGCAAACGGCCATATAATGCAAAACAATTTAAAATTAAATCGGAACAGTAGACTTGGTCATTGTCTTTCCTCGCTTTTTAACGATCGACGGCATGAAGAAAGAGAGAAGGAACGCGCAAGTTCTACTAGGCTCGTTCCCACAGCCGTTGATTTTTTCCACTTGACCCGATGACAAAGGTCATGAAAGCACCGAATGATAAAAGAACCGTACGTAATGATGAAAGTGCCGAAAGGTAAAACTAAAAAGTACCAAATGATAAAAGATCCATAAGTGTGGCAAAAGCACCGAACGTAATGATAAAAGCACCGAACGTAATGTTAAAAGCACTGAACGTAATGTTAAAAGCACCGAACGTAATGTAAAAAGCACCAAACGTAATGTAAAAAGCACCGAACGTAATGTAAAAGCACCGAACGTAATGTTAAAAGCACCGAACGTAATGTTAAAAGCACCGAACGTAATGTAAAAGCACCGAACGTAATGTAAAAGCACCGAACGTAATGTTAAAAGCACCGAACGTAATGTTAAAAGAACCGAACGTAATGTAAAAGCACCGAACGTAATGTTAAAAGGGCCGAATAGCAAATGCGCCGAACGGAAAAGAGCCACCAAAGGCAGTAACGGCGTTCCATACACCTTTTCCAGATAAGGCAAACTTTCCCGGTGTCCTTTTTTCATGGATAAACTACCACTGCTTAGCACATGGATGCCTTACTTATCTAGGGCTACAAGAGCCGCATTGTTAGCATAGTATAATACTTAAGGTACCGTTATGTCTGCAACTGTATTATTCTTATTAAATTTTGTTTTATATTAATTTATTTCTTTCGAAAGTGTACTTTCTATCACATATTTGCACTGTCTACTTAGGCCTAGTCTTAATAAAAAGTAGCCTCACCGTCTTCCGCTACACAGTACATAGTAGGTTGGACAACAGACCGTCGCCCGCTACACAGTACATCAGTAGGATAGGCAACAGAACGTGTAACATTTGAATATTGTTGGCAAACCAACTTATGCTTACCGTTCCCCCACCCCTACGCTACAATACAGACGTATGCTACAGTGGTGGCGCCAGCCCCTCTGGCGCCACCACTGGTATGCTAGGCAACAGAACGTGAAATTGCACCTTCCTTTCCGGGTGTTCATGTAACATTTGCATATTGTTAGGTAACGAGCTGCGTGTAATCCTTTGTGAAAATGAGCAACGCGGCGCACTCACTTTCACAAAGCATTTGCATCTCTCTTGGCTCATCAGCACCGTACTTCGGAATATATATTCTCCATATCTTCGCTAATTAATTACCTAATTTAGCTCACTTATGCATGGAGTAACTGGAGCACTTAAAATGTGCAACGATAATTTTACTACTCGACAAACCCCGAACTTTATTCATGCATTGCATAAATAGTTTCATGTTGATGTACTCCAACATCACTGGCGCATGGTAACAACCAACTGAATGCACACCACTTCCAGTTACACATTACTCTCCATAACGCAGCACCCTCTACTTCCGTCACCTCTGGTTATCATCATTATAAAACAAAAAATTGAGTAAATTCTCATTCAATTTGTAGACGTCCGGAGAATGCGTAAGCTTTATTGTTTCTGTAAATGTGAGTATTGTCCATGGGTACAGATAGGGCAGACTGAGAGACAACGTTGGAGGACAGATAGTTCAGTCGCTGTAGTTGGATATGGTAAAAGTCTGACTACAGTTTTAGATTTACTGGAATCGGTAACTGATGTTTTCACATTGTTGGTATTCTTTGGTAGATTAGGTAAATTCTTATTCTTGCTAAGGTTTTTTTCTTGTAGACGATGATGTTGATAATATTATTTATAATTTAATTGAATATTGGTTAAATCAAGCACAGGACTTTGATGTCTGGATACCTAGGAATCATTTATTAAGATATGAAAAAGCATACAGTAACTGTACATTCATTCTAAAACATTTAACGTAATCTTTCTTAATTTTTCTATAAATTCAGAAACATGAAGGCCATAATTAATACCAGTCTATAGTTATAAGTATTCTTATAGACACCGAAGCTAGATCCCTAATAATTTACACTTCACACGTATACAACGGTATTAGTGCAGTATTTTTTGTTTTTTACAGACTACGAATACAGTGCTCTATATTGAATGAGGAGCGTTAACAGGACCAAGGGCAGACATATTACACCTTATAGACACCGAACATCATGATTTTGCCAGATCCCTAATAATTTACACTTCACACGTATACACCGATATTAGTGCATATTTTTTATTTTTTGAAAACTACGAATACAGTGCGTGCTCTATATTGAATGAGGAGCGTTAATAAGACCAAGGGGCAGCCATATTACATTATTATAATATTATGTACTACCCTGACCTAGCTAATGTTTTCTTTCTACTTATTTGCATAGCTGAAAAGAACAATCGATCAAAGCATTCATTGACATTATCACGAATACTAACGAACAATCTACCCTTAAAGTATTGTCCAGATTTAGAGCACTATGTGGAACATGCTCCATCGGTAATCGTGACATCATCTAAACTAATGTCACCAGTAAAATCAATTCCTCTAATTCCTTCAAACATTACCCGATAGATACCGGATGTTGAAACTGAGACTTGCCCAAGTATCCAAAAGTTTCCTTGGTTATTTGTTCTGGTCCACACTGGTGAATCAACAGCACCCGTAGAATCGACTATGTACACATTTAAAGTGTTAACTGTGGCACCGTACATGTGGTAGAACCATTTGATGCATAGGCCGTTCGTGGCAGGATATGACGGTGTCCAAAGACGAGCGATGTTATTCCAAGTCTGACCTGTAGCTTCAATGTACATGTAGTAGCCTCCTGCAAGCAAGCAAAATTATAAATGCGTAGTTCTTGTGATTCAATTAATTTAATTATGTAAAATCATGTCAACAAACTGAAAATGAAACTTACAACATTTTGTAGTTGATTCGTGAGGTATACCTGTTTGGTTGTGCTTTGTTGTGTATTTATTCTACATTGTTACATTGTATTTTCTGCTTTAATTTGTAACCTTTTACAATTTTATATATTGAACATATGTGGTATCACTTCTGTTACCTTCTTGACAAGTTCCGTGTGTGTGGTCAAATGAAGGACCCGTATTAACTGAGGGTGTTGATGCAGATCTTCTGCTCCAATCAAAATCGTCGTTAGTGTCTTGTACAAAGTTACAACTACTCGGAGATTCGAAATCACATTGGGAAAAGGCTGTAATACACAAGACAAAAAATAACTGAATATAGTTGCATTGGTTGAAAATAAAAAACACAGCACAACGTTAAATTTATTCAATGTTCAAACCATATCGAGGAACTGGATTTCATTTTAACACAAACATTTTACTCAATAAGTCTCCGAAGAGAAATAGTTTACGTAGAGCATCTTTGTGTATATTCTTTTATGGAAAAAGACATTGTCACCAATATGAAAGACAGTGATATAACGAGTTATTGGCTGACTGTCAGCACAGTTTGCAATGGGAAACTGTTCATTTAGTGTAGATGAAATAATATATGCCCCTGCCTTACCCCTTTGCCATGCATTCTAGAAATAATACTATGAAAATACAGTAAATAAAAAGATATGAAACATATGAAATGAAATGATATGAAATAATATGAAATTTCATTAAATTTTATTGTTTCCATCTGGTTCACCTGTCTCTGAGCAGACCTGCATATCACATAACGGCTGCCTACCTCTAACACAGGTTTCGCATATTCATTACAAACATTATTATTATTATTATTATTATTATTATTATTATTATTATTATTATTATTATTATTATTATTATTATTATTATTCGTATAGGATTAACCGCATTCGCTAGCCGTGTCGTCAGGTGTTTTGATCGTCCCCTCCTTACACAAAAAAATTGCCCGACCAAACTTATATTTTTTCAAACACTAAGCTGAAAAATCGAAGCTTAAATGAGACCTTGCTCTCCATGTGTGACTTGAAGACTTAGCATGTATCAAAGGGGTTTTTATAACAAATTTAAAAAAAAACAAACAAACAAACAAACAAAAAAACAACCTCAATGCCTACTAACTCACAACACGGTCCAATTCAATCAACAGTTTTAACAACTTTCAATTTGGTTAGCTGTCTGTCCCATAATTCATCAATTTGTGAGGTTAGCTGTCTGTCTCCTAATTCATCAATATGTGACAGCGAGGGTCATGACCTCTAATCATACCTCAACATACCCTACCATAATTCAACACAAACATGACTTAAAATTAAGCATGAACACGGTAAATGTATTTCGTTCACTACCACATTTATGAATTGTCTTGGAAAAATACGGTAGGCCTAACGTGATAAATTTTCGTGAAGTTTCGTTGACTTTCCGTGTATTTTGTCTGTCATTAGGCCAATCTTCTTTTAGTGATCATGCATAATTGTTATATTTTATAAAAACTATTTGCGATATTTAACATACTAGCTAGCGAAGCAAGCGCACCTCTAGTAGTAGTGATACTACTACTACTACTACTACTACTACTACTACTAATAATAATAATAATAATAATAATAATAATAATAACAATAATAATAATAATAACAATAATAATAATAATAATAATAATAATAATAATAATAATAATAATAATAATAATAATAATAATAATAATGTAATAATAATACAAGGCCTATACTATATTATTTCTTATTCGTAGGCCTATTCGTTAACTTCATTTATTAATTACAAGTTGGAAAATGCAAATTGAGAAATGCGAGTGAGATATTCTAGATGCGGGTTGGAAAATGCTATATTTGGTAAATGGAAAAACTAAAGTTACGAGTTGGAAAATGTTTTATAGATGCTAGATCGGGAATACCAGTTGGGAGCTGGAAAAAAGTGAGGTTGGGAAATGCAAGTCTAGGTCTGTAGGTTTTACTTTTCAGGCCAATAAAGTTCCATTTGTGGAATAATAATGAGATGTACCTTTAGGTTTGCGTTGTGTTACACATGCGCCATTAGTGATCTTGACGTCATCTAAAGCGATGTCACCTGTGTAACCACTTCCTCTAATTCCTTCAAACAATATCTGGTAGATACCGAATTCTGCAACTGAGACTTGTCCTAGCAACCAAGTGTCTCCTTGGTTATTAGTCTTATTCCACACCGGTGTGCCAACTGTGCCTGTAGAATCGACTACGTACACATTTAATGTGTTCACAGTGTTCCCGTACATGTGGTAGAACCACTCAATGCATAGACCTTTCGATGCGGGATACGACGGTGTCCAAAGACGAGCGATGTCATTGCTACTCCTGCCTGTAGCTTCAATGTACAAGTAGTAACCTCCTGTAAGTAGGCAAAGCATAATGCTTGAGATTCATTTCATTGAATTATGTCTCCTTAATATTCATAATGAAAATAAAACCTACAGCATCTGATATCTGATTGGGGGACATCTATATATTTGCAGATATTATTATTTAAATATTTCGTGCTTTGCTTTATTTTCACTCCCCATTTCACAATTTAAAATTAATAAATATAAAAAACATGTTGTCGCTCTTTGTTACCTTGTGAAGTTCCCAGTGTGTGGTCAAATGATGGACCAGTATTAGTTGAACCTGTTGATGCAGATCCTCTTGTCCAATTAAAATCGTCCATAGTGTCTTGCACGAAGTTACAAATATTCGGATCTTCGAAATCACACAAGGAACTATCTGGAAGTTTACAATTACATACAAAATAAATTTTAGGTTAAAACAATTGCTGTAATGTATATTTTATCAAGGAGTATTGATATGTGATAATTCAGATGGATAGTATGCGATAGTATAAGTTAGACTAAGCGACGGCAGAAAAAGATATTTGTGTATGCAGAGAATACGGTATACGCCAAAATAGAGTCAGCTATGGCGGCAAAAGAAGCAGCAAAATTGCTAATGGAACATTATTTCAGGAAATTAGCTTTAGGCTTACCTGGTAATGAACATTCTCTATTTGTGATCCTGATGTCATCTAAGCCGATGTCACTTGTGAAACTACTTCCTATAATTCCTTCAAACAGTATTCGATAGATACCGAATACTGCAACTGAGACTTTTCCAAGTATCCAATTGTTTCCTTGGTTATTTGTTTTAGTCCACACGGGTGAACCAACAATACCTGTTGAATCGACTGCGTACACATTCAATGTGTTCACTGCTTCCCCGTACATGTGGTAGAACCACTCGATGCATAGGCCGTTTGTTGCAGCATATGGCGGTGTCCAAATACGGGCAATGTCATTGTTACTCCGGCTTGTAGCTTCAATGTAAATGTAGTATCCTGTAAGAAAGAGAAAGTATAAATACGCAATTCTTTTTAATCAATTAATTACCTCAGCCAAAGGAGGTTATATATTCACCGCTGGCTGTCTGTTAGCACGGATTTTATTGATTTAATTTTGTTTAACCCTCGAACATAAAAGACAATAATCGGCCCTTGTATTCGGACACAGGCTGGAGTGATGCTGCAAAGACCCCAACCAGTAAGTATGGTAGACAAAACTGGTGTACGGTAAGAATGGCCCCGGAAAAAATGGCCCCGGTAAAAATGGCCCCATATGACAGGTAGGTAAAAATGGCCCCAATAATCAAATTCTGAA